CAGCCCTCCGCTCCACTTTCCGTGGCTTATCCACAACTGAGCTCAACTGTCTCCATGATTAAAAACAATGCTGAACTAGCCAAATAAAATGATTCAACAAAATAAATAAGAGCAACTAAAACTAACTAGAACTACTAACAGTAACTTTGTTACATTTCACTAAAATAAATAACGAATTAATTACTATTGTTCATGGTGGTTTTGAGAAAGAGTCTGCAAGTACTTGTTCAGAAATACCAATGTGTTTTCGAAGCCTGTAAAATGCCTTTGAAGCCAGCTCTATTGAATAATGATTAAAAACGTACGGTTCCCTCTTTTTTCTCCTTGGTTTAGATGGCAGCATTACTAGCTGACTTGAGTGTGGTACTGAGGTTTGATGAGGTCCGCAGGGGTCACACTGAGAGAAAAGACGTCTGTGATTTCTGCTCCGCACACAAAAGCCTCTTTTCCACCTGAACAGAGCCTGTTATTGACAGATTATGTTTAATGGAAGGAAAGAGAAAGCACAAATCATCAGCTGAAATGACGGAGCAGCATGTCGCTAAAGCGTCCCGTCTTTGATGTGCTACAATCAGCGCAGGCCCAATCCTCTAATGCTCTGTGTTAGGAAGGACCCAGCCATCTTGCAGCATTAGAGAGCGATTAACTGACAGACTAATGCCTCCTAGAACGCTTCACTGACGGCCATAGCAATCACTATTGCAATGCCCTGCTCACACAACACTTTACAGTACTATATAAACAATTTAAAACTCACATCTTTCTTACTTCTGCTTCAGTCTCACCATCCTCAACTTCTCAGGTTTGTTAAAAAAAAAAGAAAAAGAAATATCTGATTTATTCTTTTTTCCCCCCCATCCCTTGCATTACTGTCCTGTACAACAGTCTGGAAAGCTGCACTAATCACAGTAAAGAACAGGAACAGCTGAATGAAATAAATAAAAGAAGCAAAGGCAAGAGCTAAAGCCGGATTAGTGCCGCCTCTGCAGTGTCCAGAAGTGTCACACTGTACTTTCATTTTTCAACAGAAGCATTTTAGGACAACCTGCTCTGAAGTAATATGAGATCAGGGAGGAAGTAAAAAAAATAAAAAATAAATAAAAAAGATTATCGGGCAGAGAGGGATTTCCTGTTCCACAGCAGATGTGAGGAGTGACGTCACTCAGCAGTCTGAGGACTTCCCACAAACCAGTCTTCAGCAGTTACTCTTCAGAGAAAAAAGAGAGACCAAATGAATCTGCAGAGCCTTTATAACTGACTCCAAGCACAGGGAGTAGTTACACTCAGTTCATCATTTGATTCCATCTAGATTTGGTTCACGACTAGAAATTATCACAATATTTTGAACCTGAAAAGAAGAAAAATGCTAACTGTTCCACAGCGTCATCCAAGCTACAAATGAGATCAGAGCTGGGAGTGTGGTCGGTGACATTGAGTGAGCTACTGTGGGGGTTAAGCTGTTAGTTGGGAGGATGACGTATGAGTGTTATGTCATTCACGCTGAAGGTGTTGTTTAAGTTGATTGCAACCAATGCAACTGTATCATATGCATCATTAATGAAACGCAGGTAAAATCACCCCATCTTCATGATGCACACTGTATTTTTTTTTTTTGCTTCATACATAAATGCCAAAATCCATTAAAGAAGGGAAATTTAACGACTGGGTCCCATCGGCCTCCACGTATGTCCATTTCATCGCATTCATTAATTTTATTTACCTAACAATCATAATGAATGTCATTTTCAAAACTGGACACTTCATTTACATGAGCATAAAGAACAGGAAACATCTTGAAAGATGGGCACAGGAGAAATGAGACCTCGCAGAGGGGAGAAGAGGGGGAATAAGAGTGAGAGGAAAGCTGAGACACATGACAGAACAGAGGGAGAGGAGTACAGTAGTATAAATGTGGGAGTGGTACAGTTAGTGGTTTCCACTGACTCTGGTATTTAGGCGGAGAGCAGGACTCTCTGAAGTCCACTCCACAGGCTCTGTGTCACCAATGAGATCTACAGAGAGGCACCCAGAAGTCCAATGGGAGGAGTGGGGGGAAAAGAGAGAGAGAGAGAGAGAGAGAGAGAGGCTATAAAAAGAGGCGCGAGTAATAAAACCAAGAGCTTCTCAAACATTAATCATCAAGGGGATTCAATCAACTCTAGAGGAAGTCGACAGTCGTACATCAAATGCTCTTTTTCGCTTAGAGGAGAGAGAATGAGATGAGTGGCCTTTTTCGTTTGGAGAGGAAGGGGTGATGGGGAGAGAGTGTGAGATTTGGAGAGGGGAGAGAGAGAGAGAGATCACTGGAAGTTGTGTGAGAGTGTTGTGATGTCTGAGTCTTAAACGAACAAACGGTTTGTGGGTCAGTTCACTTCACTTATTTGGCAGCAATGGGCAGCCGAATTAGGAAATAAAAAATAAAAAAAGTATGTGCTTTGTATGCAAGCTGACTGAGCTGGCCATGTACTCAAAGTCACGTGGGCTGTCTGGGCGCAAGGCAGGGGCCAAGGGGATGCGGCTCCCACTGTGTCAGGTAGATAAATGGAAACGCTCTAATACTTTGCCTAAAGCTGGGATCTGAGATGGAGGAACACTAAATAAAATCAGTGGTTTGGACAAGGTGGAGTAGAAGGCACTTCTGGGCCTTTGTAGATCATTTGTATGAGCAAAGAGACTATAAAGAGACAGCAGACACTTTATATAGACTGAGATCTAAAAAAGCCAAAAAGGTGCAGTTCTGATTAGGCATGAGGCCAGACAGGGGATGGTGGGGGGAGAGGAATCACCTCCCTGTTCTATTCCATTCCACCATATTAAACTCTAATCTATTTCTTCCCAGTCAATTCCAAAATAATTTAAGCACTGAACTGTACTAAAAATAACTGAACACTACAAAGCTGTGTACTACCAGTTTGGCCTTGTTGCACTACAATTCACAGTATTCTCTAGCATTACTCTGCACACTGCTGTAAAGCTCTGCCCCATCTACAGATGCACAATGAACAATTTTTTTTTAATAATATTACATTCCAGATTTAAGATTCTTTATTTCGACACAAGGTTGATAAGATTTTAAATCACAACAACTACTACAACTACTAGTAATATTCTGGGTGTAATTCTTTTTTTTGTATTTTTTGGTCAATATGGAGCAGAGAATGATCAAGGTGAAATATTAAATACAAAAGAGCAGAGAAAAACACATTGAAAAATGTAACGTAATAGCAAATTAATTATCCAGATTTGCTTATAGTCATCTGTCTCTGTTCACTATTGTGTACTTCGGCAGGTCCTTGCTTGTTAATGCATGTGTGTGTCCGCCCCACTGGTCTCTGCGCTCTGAGCTACAGGCTGTTAATGATATCAGTAGATGAGATTGATCTGATAAAACAGGAGGCCTGAAGACACTAAGGCCCTGTCACTACTCGTTTACCACATCTCTCCCTCCTACTTTATTGAATGAGTGAGTGAGGGGTAATGGACATAATCCAATAGTGCGCAGGGCATTTAAAATGTCTATCCTGTTAGTCCTCAGGAATGCAGCTATAAAAACATGTTCTCTGCAGCAAATAAAGATCTAAACTAAAAGGGAAATTAGTTTGTTAGCTTAGAGAACAACCAGTTTGTTTGTGTCCTTCTCAATTGTCTATGGCACCAAAGAGAGTAGAGAGACTGAGACTATCACTCCAATTGCTGGCAGCTTTGTATATTATTGAACAGGCGAACAGCACTTCACAAAATGATCACTTAAACTTCATTTCTCATTTTTTTACATGCTCATTTTAGGGCTGCATGAAAAATCTTATTTTTATCATTGTCACAACAGGACTTTCCATGACAAACAAATCCTTAAGAGCTGCGATGACAGAACAGTTCAAACCACCTCATACATGCTGCACCACAGAGACATCATCACACTACCGGCACAAACCGTCAGAAGCCTAATCAGTTTATTCGCTGCACTGGGATTGAACCCTGCTCTCCTACTTGGGGGACAAGTAACTTACCATTCGGCTAATCTGGCAATTACAAAATACACACATTCGCAGCTCAAAAACTCTGAACTATAACCCTGTAAAAACATATCACACAATAGGATCGCTCTTTATCAACAAACATTTTTAATAACTGAACCAAAACAAAAATGTTTTTGTTCTTCTGTACTTATATAAAAATACATATATATCTTTTTGCTTTTGTAGTCTTTATAAAAAGAGCTATTGAGGTAGTGCTGACTGTTTCACAGCCTTTCAGCGCACAATAAAATGTGTCTACTGTTCTGATGTAAGTAGGTATTAGTATTTCATTTACTTTTATTTTGCACAATAGTGAACCGTGCTTTTATAATTTTCTATTGTGCTATTTGCTTAAAGGAGAGATTAGTCAGATTTCTGTTTACATGAGCAAAAAAAATCTGTACTTGTGTCACATCCAGTCAGAGGCACAATATTTTAATAATAATTATTATTAGAATTATATTATATTACAATTGTGATATCTGACATATTTAACAAACACCACATTTTATTTCAATATCATACAGCTCTAACTCGTTTTCAAAAAGTGAATATTCAACTTCAGTAGCCCTGAGAGCAGCCCTGGAATAGTCTGTCAGAGGAAAGTTGCTGAATCATGGTCAAGTACACGCCCCCCCCACCTGCCCTTTGATGTATGACAAGTAGCAGGGACTCAGATAGTTGCTCCAGGACTCCTCTCATTATTTTCTCAACAAGTGGGTGCTTTAGGAAGGGAGCAAGATTAAGAACCACAATTAATATTCAATGACAAACAAGTCACAGGCTAAGATAACACTCCTGAGACTGGCGTCATCTGTATTACTGCAAGTGAGATGAGTGGGTAAAGAGGGTAAAAGAAAAACCTCATTCAACAGGGATGTGATGACTTTTGCGAGCTGCTATTGGCAGGCAACTGCTACAACCATAAAATATGCTGGATATGACGCATAATTATTTTCCATTCTCTGTTATTTCTGTTGGCAGGAACCATGGTGAGCAAGGAGGTTGGAAAATGCATGCTCACCAACTCCGAGTCGGACTCCGAGGCAGCGCCCTCTATGGCCCTGGAGGTGAAAGGGCCATCGGACGGGAGCAGGCAGGTGCGCAAGCGCAACAAAGCCCTGCAGGTGCGTTTCAAGGACATCTGCGAGGCCCAGAGCGAGCAGGCAGCTGCGGCGCGAGGATCCAAGTCTGTCTCCTATAAGGTGGCTTACCGGAAGTATATGACCGTCCCTGCCCGGAGATCCATCCCCAACGTGACCAAAAGTACCGGAGTGCAGACCTCTCCAGATCTGAGGAAGCGATATCAGACTTTTCCACTCGAGAGGAAGAAAGGACACACCGTGAAGCATGCCGCTACAGTGGAAAGCTACAAGGACCAGGATAATGGATTTGTTATTGACATTAAGCGGGCAAAAGCGGGCGAGGGTGGTAAGGAGGGGGCACCATCTCACACTGTGCGGAAGACTAGAGCGTTAATGCACACCAACGAATGCATAGCCACTATTGAGCACCACCCGCACACTACAGAGTGCACAGAGAGGACACTGCTGCCCTGTTCAGTGGAATCTGGGGCAGACCAATCAGACTACCAGATCTGCGCGGTGAGGAGTAAACACCGCAAGAGCTTCCAGAGGGACTCGGAGTCACTGGACCGCTCAGGGAAGCGGCAGCTGTTGAACTCTGATGATGGAGGCGGCAGGGCTTTGCCAGACTCCAGCTCCAAGGTGACGGGGCCCATCGCCTGGAACTCCCTCACGCAGGTGGAGTGTCTAGACAGCCCGTCGGCACGCAGCAAGCGCAAAAAGGCCCTGCAGTTGAATGGCCTGCAGTCCCAGACTTTGCCCAGGACCGGCTGCACCACGCAGGCGCAGTGCCATGCCGGAATGATCTCTGCCCGGCCTTTACGGGCCATGGAGGAGGCAGAGGCGACGGCCCCTGTCAGTACGGCACCCATCGCCATGCCAGCGCCTGCATGTGGGGGCGGGACAGGGACGGGGACAGCAGCAGGGACTGTACAAGTGGACAGTGAGGCCTGCAAGCAGATCGTGCCTGTCAATCAGGACAAGGATGTAAAAGCACAGCTGCAGGCCATGGAGAGCATGATCAGCTCTAGCCAGGAAACCATCAAAGTGCTGCTAGGAGTCATCCAGGAGTTGGAGAAGGGAGAGGCTCTCAGAGAAGGGTAAGACATAGAAAAGCACTGTTGTAAAAAGATAAATTTTACTGTTAGACAGCATTCAGAGTGACATTCCATTACTACTGCCTTATAACTCTTTTTTTTCTGTACAGAAAAATAGGCATTCAAAAAGTGAAAAAAAATGAAAGTAAAAATAAAATAAATCAACTAAGCCACTACTTTGTACTTATAGCACTAAACCCTAAACTAAATGTGCCCAAGTACCAAATGGTCTATTATAATCACTCATATCTACAGGTAAATCTAAGAACCTCTAACGGTGGACATTTAAAAAGTAACTTGATCTTATGTAACTGCTTTTCTAAACATCTCAGCAAGATGCAGTCTGTCTGAGAACAGACAACCCCGTCACCATATTTATCTTTTAATAGTTGTTTAATGGCCTACAGAAATAATGAGAACCATCAGCAGTGAAGCCATAATATGGAATGATGCAGCAAGTCAAGTGAACAACTGAACTGAACAGCAAAACTGTTAAAAAGGCAAAGTTCATTTCTGCAGTACATTTCAGCACATTTGAAAAACACTTTGAGCCAAATCTTTCTCAAAAATAACTCACAGCAGTTTTAAGCAAGCAATTTTTAAGAATTTTAAGCAACAAAACATCTTTTCTTATTCCACACACGTTTAAAATTGCACCTGTGAGACGGAGAATCAAGCCCTCTCTATATCAGAAAGCCTGGGTGAGTATGCCAAGACCATCATCTCACTCAATATGGCTCTTACAGCCCAGTGACCCACACTATGAAATAATGTCACTTCTCTTACACATAGAAGGTGACATTAAAGACAGACCCAGCTTTTTAAAAACTTTTAGAACTTCAACACCACCGAGGAAAGCAAATTTTAATCACATTTATGGAAGATCAGCCTAAAAATGACTGTTCATGGGAAATTAATTAAACCTTTTCACTTACTTTGGATATTCATAAGGCAAGGGAAACTGACATATTTCCAAATAGCTTTAGTTAGAAGAAGGAAATTCCAAAAACCTGAAATCAAGAAGACACTCCCCTAAACCAGAACTAAATATCTAATCAAGCGCACCTAAATATTAATCACACGGTTTGAAATGATTAGCAACAGAAAATCAAACAGATTAATATATATGTGAAGGTTAAAGCCACTGAAAATAACAGAAGAGTTTTATGTATGAAACACAACAGTCTGCAATCTAACCTTCCGCTGAAGAAAAGACGTGATTGCAATCCATCTCAGAAAATTAGGCTTTAAAATTGCATTTAAAATGTGTAAGTGGCATATTAATCAACTTCTTGCTTTGCAACCCAGGAGGTGTTCAACGGAGTAACGAAAAAATAAATAAATTACTCTCTGTCTGTCTCCTCAATCTTCATAAGTTGAAATCATGCTTATTTGCATGTATAACGGTCTAATCTCCTTAGTGCTACAATCAGAAGATTGAGCAAGTAGTGGGTGAAATGCCTGATTCCCCCCTCAGTGACAGAAGTCATAAATCATACTTTACTTACACTTTAAAATACGCCATGGCATATTTAGCATGCGGCGTGCTAACTGCCCATGACGTAGCAATTAAATGATAGCACACAAAAACTGCAGGACGTTAAAGTCTCCTGAGTGAAATTAGCCCTTTGTAAGACCTGCTTGCGCACAATTTAGAGAACAGAGGTGCTATTAAAAGATAGCATCTATCATTTAAGAGTGTGTGAGGTTATAGGAGTGTAGAGTGAGGTAGCAAGGGACACAGAGACAGACACATGCACGCACATCGATTTTAATGCTGCACGGATGAAAGGGGACACTTTTACACTGGCAGCCAGCCAAGACAGTGATTAAAAACCACACTAATTACCTTGCGGAACTACAGCACTAATTTATGTACCCGAAAGACAATTAGACCCCAAACAGAACTTATAGATCAGTGACGCAGACAGAATCTGGATTTGGTCAAGCTGACAAGTAGCAACCAAGACTTCATTACTATATAAAAAGTGTAAATAAATTCATAAATAAAAAAAGGAAGATATTACATTAGTCTTGTTGAAATTCTAATGACTGTAGTGTAAAAAATACTAATTTACAAAAAAGCACAAAAAGCACAAAATGAAGCATTTTGAGCCCTTTTCCGTGGAGAAGAGCTTTGTTTAACAGAGCGGTAAAAGCTGATTTCCTCGCCCCATGCCACAGGAGCGCTTCATGTCTATGACTTACATGCAGAACACACTTAAAGAATCTTTCGATATACTGTTTATTCTGAGGGCACTGGATGTTTTCAATTTCCTCAGTAGCAGCCTGAGCGAATTTTATTTTCTTGCAAGCAGTGCAGAAAAGCTAATGCCAGTCTGGACATGGAGCATTAGTTTCATTCCACACTTGCAGAAATGTCACTCGCTCAACAAACAAGGGACGGCCACAGGCTATAGGTGGAACATGTTCATAATTACGGCTGTTACATTACTGATGCTGTGTTGTACAGCAATCCATTTGCCATGCTTAGCACTGCATGAAAACACACAACAGTTCACATAAAGTTCACTGATGATGATTCTCATTCTGTAGTAGTACGTAAACCATGATACTGCATAGTATATAAAACAGCTACACAACTAAAAGAGCAAAAATATTGAACTGAATGCCATAGAGATGAAGTCTGTTTCCCTTCATGATAAGTGAACCATAACAACCATCACAACAATTCAGGAATGAGGGCCTATAATCATTTAAGGAAAAGAGTTTACCATTGTTCTTATTCTATAATTTGAAGAGCAAATATGTAGTATGCATGCTATTGGAGACATCTTTCACAACTTAATAATGGTTTGTACTTAAAGTACTGTTTAGGGACAGTCCTTAAAGAGTGCTACCTTATTCACTGCACTAAACTTATGAACAGCTTGAAAATGACACAAAGTAGGCTAATTTAATTTAATCAGGTGTATTAGGGCTAAGATTATAAGATTACATTAAACCATGCAGAGCTTGTATACCACTAGACTAAAGAACCTGGAGGAGCTCTGCTCTACGTGGAAATGGACAAGACTATAGCTACGTTTCCACTTGCCCACACAGAGCAAATTTAAAAAAATTGTCCAAAAAACATCTGTATCTGGCCCAGACATGTATCTTGGATGATCTGATCGTAAGTGGACAGCACTAAGTACAAGCATGAACAACTCCAATGCACCTCAGAGCCGCAGTGTGATGTGATCACTCAAAGCACCTTCGAAGGTTGTCAGGAACGCATATGATCTCATAACACTCACAGTGCTAACACTAAAGATTCTTGATGCGTTCCCAACAGCAATGAAAGACCACCTAAATCAGCTGCACAAATAAAACCTGCTTTGTGGAGCTTTCTTCATCTCCTCTCCTGTTTGTTTTCAAGCTGTTACCAATTCATATAATCTCATTGTAACAGCCTTTAAATGTATTCATACAAGCACTCACAGTACATTTTTGACAAAAAAATGGGAAAGATGTGAAAGGTTACCAGATGTGAAATCTGATCCTAAACGGTCACTGGAAAAACACCGGAAACATACAAAAATGCCAGGTATTAACAGCTATACGTCTTGCTGTTCACTTGTTAACCAATAACTTGAGACAGATGGTAACACGGGGTATAAACAGAGCCCATGTATCTCAAACCATCCCAAAGGTATGAATTTGGTCATAACCTTTATGCCAAATTATAACAAGTAAGCACAGATAACACAACACACAGATATACACAAATTTCAGATGTATATAACTCACAGTGCAAAACACGCTAACGTTAGCTTCTTTGCTGAGTAGCTGAATCAGAGATGTTTCAGTCATGGTTCAAGTAGAAATAAAAATGCAGCAATAAATCGATAACCTCCCACTGTGTAGTGAGTTGCAGTCTGAGGTAGTCCAATTTGTTGTCAAGGCAGAGAACCTAAGTGAGTAATATACAAGGAATGGCCAGTCTCTTTAGCCTAGCATGGAAACCAGCCAGCCCAGGGGTTGCCACACTCAGTCAGCTGCATCAGATCATGCCACAGCCTCAAGACCTAGCTTCTAATATTAGTGTGAACGATATAATATTTACTTAATTTCAGCAGTGATTGAAGGTCGGAGATGTAAGCACATGCGTGTGACCCATATATATATAAATGACATTTAGCACTGTTTTAGCCAAGCCAGAAAAGGTGCTGCATGCTTATGTGAAGAGGAAGAGTCAGAATGCAACGCTGATATAGGTTTGTCTATAAATTGTTGAGATCTGTTTTTGTTATTTTGCCCAATAAAGATTAATTTCAGTTCTCAAATATGTTTATCATTAAATGTGATGGCTGGGCATGTTCAGGAGACATCTGGAAACAAACTTTTGTTTTTCTAACTAGCTGATAAGATAAATAAGATAAGAAATTCTTGTTGGTTTCTACAGTATTTTTGTTTATTTGCATATTTCTGAATGATATATGGTGTTTTTACAAGCTAAAATACATTTTTGCCCAAGACATCTGATATTTAATTAAATGAAATTAAATACTTAAAACTAACTGCTAATACAGGTGCAATTCAGTGCCTTAGCTACCATGCAGCCATTTATCATTTCTGTTTAGTGCAAAAAATTTAGTGTTTGACAATCCAGATTCCACATAACGAAGTACATACTGTATAGTCTAAAACTGTAGTGCCCAAATTGACACACAGAGGTTGTCGCTTTGTCAGTACAATTAGCACTCACTCTAATAATAGCCAGGTTAGTGTTATGGTACTAGAGGACACAGCTAGCATTTAAGAAGTGTTACTCTCCATCTGTGGAGCTTGGCCCGTGCACCAGACTGGACTTTGCCTCCCCAGAGTTCATGATGGCATTGCTATACATCACTGTCCCCATTAGCCATTGGAAACTAGCCCTAGATAAACCCCACGCATCAGCAAACACCACATCACTTGCAGTCATTAGAGGCAAAATGGCTGCCACATCTCTCTGCGTGTGAGGACGAGCTGTGCAGTTTGACCTTTCGAGCGGAAGTGGCAGGACACAGGATGGGTGGTACAGGACTCAACAAAAGCAGAGTTTGGCTGTTAATGGCAGTGTTGGCTTCGGTCTGACACCTAAGAAGTGTCAGCTAAAATGGGCTGGATGGTATTATTGCCACTTAGCCAGGCTGATTTAAGAAAGAGAGCTAGACAGAAGGAATGGAGAGATAGGAGAAAGAGGGAAAAAAGTGACTGGACATCTCGTCAGCAGAATCGATTCCTGCCATCAAAAGGTCAAAAGGTCACCATCTCTCTGTGACCACACTAACTGCCATAGCAACGGCTGGTAATATGAAGAGCAACAGTACAATCTCACCTTAGAGCTACCTACATATATTTCTTTTCTTTGTGTTTTTTCCAGTCTCCTTCACATTCTAATGTGGCTTCAGAACAACCCTAATATCAGCACAGACTACATAACCACCACATATGGGAGCTATTTAAGGCCAACACACAAGAGAAGGAATGTTTATGCCACTTTTAATGGCAATTAGCACAAGCTGGCCCTGCTAGCACAATGTAGGAGTTTAAGTGAAAAGAGCATGCTCAGAAGGCAGGTCCTGTACATGTAGCACTGTGCAATAAATATGCTTCTTTAAATAACACCCACTCTTTATAGTAAAAGGGAACATTCGCTGTGCTATGACCAGTGGGGTGTCTCTTTACCATAGTACAAGGACTTTTGCTACTGCATTTGAATACCTAGTAAACTGAGTGCTAACGATAACTTCTATGCTGACAAGGTGCTTTAGGTAACGACCATCAGTTTTACACGTTCTTTCAAGTATGCCATTCCGACTCTACGTTGATCTTTTTCTCAAAAACTGATCTCGTAACAGTATGCCACATCTGGGACACCATATGAATGCAGGTCCAGATCCCCATGTGGCATGATATGTCTCAGGACACACAGCTTTGAGCTGCTGGTGGGTGATTTATCAAAAGAACTTAAAGCTAAATTGGTGGGCTTTGCAGATGTAAAAATGGGTCTGTAGGAGGTTTAATTCATATCCTCACATTCTTTGGATTACAGCAAAATTGGCCTGAAATCATTACCCATTATTTACCGCTTGCTTTGCACTAGGACAATATCCATAAAAAAAAGTTGTAAAATAATTGAGTTACTTTTAATGCATTATCTCTGTTGCAGTGGCTTTTTCACACCAGCCCACACATACAGACACACACTCACAGAGCATGTGCTAGCATGTCTGTCCCAGCATGTGCGTGAGCACTAATCGTGAGCTGATAATGAGGACTGACATGGCCGGTGATACATTCATCAAGTGAGGTGGGGGTGTAGTGGCTAAGCAGATACCGTAATGACCAGTCCTCTCTCCTTATCTCCACCAGTCTCTCCTATCGAACCGGGCAGGACACGGCCAACTGCGACACGTGCCGGAACAGTGCGTGCATAATTTACAGGTTGGTTTCTCTTCTTCTTTCACTGGAGAAGTGCTGCAATTCTTACTTTTTTGTTTTGTTTTGTTTTTTTTGTAAGAGCTTGAGATGTTTCTCAAAATGCAGTGAAACTGACTACTCATGTCAAGTTCAGACATCACCCAGGTTGGGTGGGCCCAGATTGGGTCTAACTACCATGTGTTATTGTCACAGAGGTCCAACAAAATCGAGAGGCAGTATAACAACAACGTACAATGTAAAGTTTATTCAGACTAAAAGCTTTTGGGATGTTGTTCAAAGATATGATACAAAATATGATTCAAAAGAATTTGATGTATAAATCTGGAGTTTGGACAGATGAAAATGAGGCTATGTAATTTTATGTTGCTCAACACTGATCTGATGATAAATGTCATTAAGGTCAACACTGCAATTGGGAATGTGGAGTTTTATTCAGCCACAGAACTCTGTGGGTCAGGTCAACTTTGGAGAGAATGTCCTCGAGCTATATCTGGATTTGGACCCAATGGTCAGGCCCAGTTAAAGCTCTGGTGTGCATACATGTGTGAGAAAGATAGAGAGAGGACAGAGTAAGATTCTGAGCAGTTCTGTGAGTAATAAACCGACAGAAGCTAATGACAGACTGAATATCAGGTGAAGCTTCTCTAATGAGTCATTTTAGAGGTAGTGTGCACTGCAGGAAATGCTGGGTCAGGTGTTTGAAAGAAGTGGGCAGGGCTGGAAGTGCTGGGGGCAGGAATTCACATGCAGTTAAAATATTCAGTGAATATTCAAGAGGAATTTTAAACTGACCATTGCACTAAAAGCACACAGAATGTATTCTCCCTGATTTCTGTGACTTGTGAGTTTATTCCTTTAATGCTGTTTGTAACTAGGAATATTTTATTCTGATGCTACTTTCATGCTAGAACAACATGTGTAATTGCTGTCTTCTTAGTAATAAACTAATAGCTGGGAACAAACTTGCGATTTCAATTAAAGTACAAACAACTGTGTAAGTCTACACTGAAAGATACACACTCACTTATGAGAGAATCACAGTACATATACACACTCGTCAGGCCTGCTAGATCAAATCTGACCCTGCAGTCACAAAAAGCTTAGTAAATAAGAAAGAGCATGCACATTTAAGAATGCAAACACATGCACACACAAGCAGCTGTGCAATCATCAATGTTTCCTTGTAGCAGGGTCTGTGTTTCCATATGGTGGTTGTTTTTTTAAAGAAATAGTTCAGTCAGTAATACTAATGTTGCTAACACTGAATTGAAAAGAAGAGCCACCAATATGAAAATGACATGCTAATTACTGGTGACTGGCTTCTGTTTGTTGTTAGCAACATGAGTATGCATGACTGAGCTATTCATTTAAAGCAACCCAGCTATTTGATGATCGTGTGTGTGTGTGTGTGTGTGTGTGTGTGTGTGTGTGTGTGCACATGTGTTCCCAGTGGCGAGGCTTCAGAAGAGAGCAGAGGAGTTTGTTTGCTTTCTCTCTCTTTCATCAGTACTCACTAAATAGAACATCAGCTATTCTCATGAATCCTGCATCTGATGCATATGAATCAGAAAGCAGACATGCTGCCTCAGGACACACTCACACACACACGCAAGCTCTGTGAACTAAGCTTTGTCCAAGCTCCAGGTATTAGTCACATGACCCTGACTACCATGTAGACCATCTGAGACAAGAGTTGTTCGCCCATTATTAGGGTAACTGTACTGATTTAGGATATTTACTAAATGGCTGTTGTCTACTTATTTATTTATTTATTTTGGGGGGGGGGCTCCATTTTTTTACTACATATTCTATGTATGCAAGTAAAGTATTATGCAAAGGTCTTAAGTCATTTGAGATAACAAGATGTAAAGCTATTTATCTGGGCAGAAAATACTAACATCTGAATTAGGGATACATCGATACCTTTTTTTTTCCAGACGGAGTACGAGCATGAGTACATGTTTTTTAAGTACTTGCCAATACCATTAAACACTGAGTGACCTACTTAAAAATGAAGTAGTTGTTAGCGTAAATGAGCGCAATGTGCCTTAACAGTGAAATCATTATAATGACCTTTGATCGCGTAGTGTTGCAGTAGAGAAGAGCAGGTTTTGTTCCACATCAGAAAATCGTTTCCATACCGTTTCAAGTAAAGTACTTTTCATAGTTTTGATCCCTGCTTTCCGTATGTCTCTTAACAACAGTCTGTATAGTACAGTAACGGCAGGAATCACATCTAAGACTAATTGGAAAGAATCTGCCAAAGCAGAATGTTTAAAGTGACTGATGAATTTGTGTCCGTCTGCCACCGCCTCAGCGACACTGTGTGAGTAGACCCTCATTCGCTGCCAGCTTCAATCATTTGCTCATGAGTGTGCCTGATACCAGTATCAGTATCAATGACTCTCTGAATGAATACAAATAAACAATACATTGTGATTTTATCAATGTCAGCATTTCCAAATTTCTCCTCAAGGAAGCCCAGTATTTACAGTTACTACCTTTAAGTAAAACAAGTCATTCTTGTTTTGTTTTTTTTTGTTTGTTTGTTTGCATGTATTCTAATGCTAGTGTTTTACTGCCAAAAAAAAACACAAACCAAGACATACATTCTTCCTTTGCCTCTCTAATTTCTTAATTGTTTCTTAGATTTGATGTCTCTGTTATATGCTCAAAATGTAAGAAATTAAGTTACATGGAATATTATATATGAATTAACATCTATATGTGTGTTTTGTGTGTTGGAGCAGGGAAAATTCTAGTGATGCTGTGGCCCACCAGAAAACCTGTGAGGTATTCCAAAACGTAGGATTTCTCAGTTAGCCAGATAAATTAAGCCAAAAGTTAGGCCTGTCCAATAAGAGAGAAGGTAAGGGTAATTCTTAATGGCCAATCTTCACTTTTGGCACAAGTTACCAAGCTTAACAAGAAATCCCACTTTGTGAAACATCCTGTGTGAGAGCCATAATTTATCTTTTCATCCAAGCTAAGCCAACTTTTCAAGGCTGGCAGACTGAAATGGAAACTCACAACGAGTAATAACACTGAGAATTCAGTGTGAAAACATCAAGGACACTGTTTATAAATAGAGAAATAACTCTACAGGTTTTTAGCAAGAGGCAGCAATATCTTCACACAATCCTAGCTGTTCTATTTGAGACCGTTTTCTCTTGCAGCATCATTATATATATATATATATATATATACACACACACATATATATATGTGTGTGTGTGTGTCTTACAAAATACATATTCTGGCATGCATCATTTGCTCCTGCACCATATAATCCCAACCAAACAAGCATTTTATATACACAAAATAGTGACTGCGCACAAGAACACACAAAGTGAAGGTATGCATATACGTAAAAATACACGTATACACCCCCTTAAACAGAATCGCACATACAAAGGTGTTTGCTCTGTTGTGTTTGCGAGTGAGGTGTGAGAGGAATACCAAGCACAGCTGTCTGATTGCTTTCATCTAAAATCCGCTCTGCGCGATCAGCAGTGAATAAAACATTAAAGCCTCAATCAGGAATTGCTGAAACATTGCCACAGCCGCCTCAGGATAACCTTAGCTTTCTTAGTACACTAACAGGCACAATGTATATCTTAGGTTTTAACAATTTTAATTGTTGAAAAGTTCTTAATGGCCGTGAAGCATTTTATTGATTTTTATTTAGTAATTTGTTTAAGTAAACAGGTATCAGCCAGTTTTTGGGGGAGTTTTAGGGAAAATATAGTATATGTCCAACACCCTTTCTAATTGGTTAATTCAACTACTGTAAGGTCCACTGCTAATTCAGGTGACCAACTGTGCACACACAGCTTGCATCATGCCCAAAGAAAAGCACTGCCAAAAGCAGTGGTTGCACTAGAGCAGCAGCAAAGGAGCCCAAGGTCACCATGCAAAATGGCAAGAAATGCCTTGAGGGTTATAAACCTTTCCTGATCTCACTAATTCGCTTGAGGCCGAATGCAATCAACCCCCTTCATACTTTACACTAATGCCTCTGATCCAGCCAATCAAGGAATTCTGAAGAATTTAATTAGCAGGTGCAGAAGACTGTGGTTGGTACCACACTCTGCAGGAAGCTAGATCTCCAGGTCCAGGGTTGGTGACCACTGATCTAGTGTGAAGCGTTCCCAGAAAGGCAGAGGCTGTTACTGCAGCAAAGCCGGGGACAAACTCTAATTTAACGCCCTTGATTTCAGAAGAAATGCTGGATGAGGTGTGAGCAGGTGTCTAGAAACTACAAAAGCCTAGTCTGGGACTACACAACAACCTGGACAGAGATTCTCCAATGAAAGGAAAACACAGTCCAGGACTAGGCTTCATCTCTGACTGGGAAACCCACCCATAATGTAGCAGCTGGGAGATGGTGATTGCTGGGAGGAGGATAGTGGGGGGTCATAGAGTTTATGATCTTATCAGCCACAGTATAACCAGCAGACTCTGCTCTGACCTTCACACTTCATCAGACCAGCCACTGCTTGCAAAAGCAAAAGGTCCCACAATTTCATTTTACAACATACTTAAAATCCCCAGTCATGAACAAACCAGAGTTTGAAACTGTCACAACCAGTAGAGAATATACTTTTCACTGATGCTGTTGTTGTTATTCAAAAGCCTTTGTTATTGCAGTACTCAACATTTGTCTGGCAGTTGCAGCAATTTCTTACTGGAGTTTTAATTAACCAGTAATAAATGTTAATTCTGAGATAAACAGCATTAACTCTGAGGTAAGCTAACAAAGCTAAGTAGGCATACACATTACCTCTGTACATAATTATCAATTTGCAGAAGATTACTGTCTACAAAGGAGATTAACATAATGTACTGAATTACAAACACGCTCAGCAAGAGTGGCCCGACCATTTCTGTGAAAAATATACCCTAATCCAGACTGAAACAGAGCCCATCTGGACTGAGGAAAACGTGTGTACATATGAGTGTATGGGTAATGGGATAAACTCTTAGCTGAGTTTGGCAGGACT